TTTGCTGCAGTGTTGGCTGTCAGTCTGTCCTGTCTTACCTTTGTCATATTGTGATGATATCTTTCCATTCCAAATTCCTCCAGGCTTTTTATTGTGACATGATGTGGAATGTTGTCGCAGGCTTTTTCTGTGTATGCGGAGACGGTTGTTTAATTTTTGTCCTAGATTTGATTTATGTGCTATGCTTTACTTACCGATTTCTGTTTGGTGAAAGGGGAATTCTTGGAACAAAACTGACTGAATCTTGGTGTGCAATCTCTTTCATATTTTGCTGAATTTGGTTTGAAGGCATTTTAATTCATTAATTTGCACTGGTGGGGATCAAACACATGGTTTCACTTGTTCTGCTTTCCTAGGGTGAGAATCCAGCCCAGGCTTTGAGTGTCCTAGGCAAATACTCTACCATCTTTGACCCCCTATTGCTGAAGATTGAGCCAGTACCTCTTACATTGTAGGCAAGCGTTCTACCTTCCAGCTCTATCCTCAGTCCCTCCACACCTCCCCCCACTCCCATCCCAGTGCTTTGTGCCTTCTCCTTCCAGGTCTGCTAGAACTCAGAGTGGCTTGTCTGCTTCTGCACTTCCCTTTGTCAGAGAGTGTTGCCACTCCGGTCTCGCTGTTTGTTACGGCTGTGGCTTTCTGCAATATGTTCTTCAGACCTAGCCTTCCCGTCGGAGGAGTCTCTGTCAGACAACCCTTCTGCTGACTTCAGGCTTGAAAGACCTGTGGGTTTCTCTCGCTGCTAGGGCTGCGTGTCTGTTGTCATCAGGGCCTCCAGGCTTAGCTTGTGGTTGTGGCTTCTGGTTCCTTCCCTCTGAGCAACTGAAGTTGGAGTCAACATATTTTTCCCTATTTGTCACTGCCACTGTATTTCTCTGTGCCTCTTAGCTGCCTTCTCACCTATTTATTTGTTGGTTTTGAGACAGGGTTTCGCTATGTAGAATTCACTGTGGTCGCAGCCTGACTCTCGTCTTCCAAACGCCGGGATTACAGGCTTCTAGCACCATGCCTGGCTCCATATGTACTTCTGAAGACTTGTGTTTCCCAGGCTCG